TTCGTCGAGTATAAAGCAAATGAAGCGTGAACTGAAAAGCTCAGAAGCACTGGACAGCTGTTTCGACCTGGTTCACGCTTCATCTGCTATATACACGACGAATTCCCATTTGAAATTTGGATAACGTCCAACGGTTTTCCGCCACATCCGGCATATCTCTTAATCCCTCCAAATGTTTCGATGTCTCTTTATATTATCACGCTCTTTTTTCCCATCTGAACCGGTATCGATTGGTTCCAAACCAATATTCCGGGTAAACTGTATTTAAATACCTGGGCGTTTTTATTGATACTAATCTTCACTGGACCTCTCACATTCAACACATCATCAGTAAGCTTCGACGACTTTCTTTTCATATCCGTAAACCTCGTCAGTTTCCTATTCCACAATCAATTATTTCCAACTTTGTGAACCAGTGTGGCTTCCCTGTTTTACTTTATTGTTCACTCATTATTTTTCCCAGCCTACTGAGGAAAGATTTTAATTTGCTTCGACGTGGATTGACTATCATTAACCGCGTCTCTTCAATTCCAGTAACGGAGTTGATAACTAACCTATGCAAACGTCATTTGAATACATGTGAAAAGTTTGCGCATAAGATTCTCATCGACTCCACACATCCGCTACACGCTGACCTAATTTCCTATTGTTCCCATCCCTCAACTAGATCACAATATCGTTGTGTTCCCTCTAGAATGAACATTTATCGTAACTCCACAGTACCCTCAATAGCACGTATTCTTGTTAACAAAGAACAGGTTTTCACAGAATTTGTTAACAGTTTTGGAACTTAAATCGCTTTTTTCATTGTTACTTTCATTTTCTCCCTTGCTCCAAACTGTAAATTTTTTTAACTGAAATGTGGGCTTCATGCATGCAGAAGTTATTACAATACAATACAACACATACTGGTTACATCTGTGCGATCATTTATAGTTTCGTGAGTGAAACAGATGGTGATATGAATGAATTACAGTTATCCATGATCCCACAGGCGATGGTAACTCTCTGCTGGGTAGTAAGCAGAGGTCGGTAAAATATTCTACCCACGGTTGTTTTAATACTGAATGTCGAATAAGAGGAAAGTCTGTGGCACCACGGATGCCATTCTGCAGTGTATTTCTTGTACGTGTTTTACCATAAAAGATTGTGTAAACGAGCTTCCTATCATAAAGATGGAAACCAGTGACATATATCTGAACTGAGCTGGGCAGTTGTGTAGACATTTCATGTTATTCCTCAAGTTCTCTGTAGTCACTGGCGTCTTTCGGATTATATTTATTCAGCGCTGAACCAGTTTGTAGAAAATATTGCATTTTCACGGATAAACTTGCCGAATTTTATTTTAGCGGATTAAGACGGTTGATTTGTTCTCACGAATACCGAAAACTCAAACATGATGCGTTCAGTTAAACCAAATCTGTTTTTGTCATCTTTCCTTTAGTCAATATTGCAATGACTGACAACTGTGAGTTGTTTTTAACGAACAGTGAATGGTCAAAACAGAGCGGTTGGCTTTCGGCAGCAGATACACAGATGATTCCGGAAGTGTTTGAATTGACTTGGAAGTTGTGATCCCTGATAGACACCCAAACACATGACGGCTTAACTCCAGAATACTCGTTCGCTCCATCCAGCTCGGGCTAAACTACGCAAACACCGATAATCGAAATATGTCTACGAAGAAGCGCCGACCTCACCCTACCGAAACATCCATCTTCGATCGGTAACTCACTCAAAAAGTATCAGCAGTGGCTGATGGCGATATGTTCGATTTGAGTCCAGCGTTGTGAAGACGTTGGCGGTCTGCATGTAAGGTGGTGTCATCTTTTGTGCGAGAAGTTCGTGCTTGACAGAAACAGTCCGTGGTCAGCACAAAGTTGGAGTAGGCGTTCTCTGTTGACAGTCCTGTTGGCTGGGATTGCATGTGAACCGCCAACTAACTTCTCTGATTCGTCATCATACACAAATGGTCACCTAAGGCAAGGACACTGGTCTAAGTTTCACTGAGGGGAAAGTGGAATTTACAGCCGCTCTCAGTGACTGCACTAGGCTTTCTGCTTGTGTCCCCCTTAAATGGTATCCTTATGAATAGCTCTTTCTTGGGGACACAAATGGAGTTTTCCTGTTCCAGAGTGAGCCGAATATTCTTATCGATGAACTTTCCCTGAATAGTTTTCTCTACACCAAAACATGACATGTCACTTGGCCAAAATGGGGAAATGTCAGAACACGTAACACGCTAAACATTCTTACACACACAAACACATCCTCTACTGATGTTCACTTGTTCGCCGAGTTTGGCAATTGTATTGCATGCAATACAATTGCCAAGCTCGGCGAACAACTGAACATCATATTATACCACCCGAGGTACAAAAATAACAATCAACATCGTTGTTTACCAAACTGTCATACATCCTCTACTCTCTGCCTCCGATTAATGACCTTAAATTGAGCCAGTAGTTATTATTATGTAATAATTTTTCCACTATATGATATGCAAGAGCATGACTAGGAATATCCGAAAACAACTGTTCGCTCACCGACTCGTTTCTTCAAGACTTGTAGCATACGGGAACCGTTCGGTGGACAAGGACACATTGAACATAAGAACCATGGGATCGGAAAGTTTTTGATCTAATCCTTTCATCAGCTTGTGTGGGACTAAATCAGAACCATATGCTTGCTTCACTTTAAGTATTCAGAACTGCTAGAGTCAGATAAGGGGTACGGTTGCTTCAGAAAAGTACTAAATTGACTATGTCGATCTTCCAACAGCTTGATGAAACCAACCCCAATTAAGAAGATCTCAAAATAGAAGCGCTATTTGAGTCCGCTAGACATGTGGAAAGTGAACTAGTTCACCTTCTGTTTTCTTACCGATCAATTTCATCCCACCCTCACCGCCTTCCCGTTCAGCCTGCGTATATAAGAGGAAAAGGCCAGAAGTATAGGATACCATGGTGGTTCAGATTTTCACTAAGTAGACCACTGAAGAAATGTCTGAGATATACATTTTTCCCCAAACAGACATAGCGGCACCGTTCGCATAACCATTGACTCCAACGAACACGACTAAGCTCATCAATCAAAACAAAACGGAGCACAATTTCGCAAAAATGACATGTTTATCTACCGCTAACACACATACGCTAATCGTTTTTTGAATACATCATTCATTCCAGAACAAAGCTGTCGAGCAGCCTGTATTTCTTCAAACTAACAATTGCTGTTCCAGCTGCTCTGCGCTTGGGTCTCAAGATCAATTGCATTCTTTTAATTCTCATTGTGCATACAGACAGACACACTCGCTCATCATGTATCTGACCATAAGTGTCAACAGCACTGCAATTCGGATGCTGATAAGCAGAATAATTTTAATTATCATCGTCATTCGGAAGCCGAGAACTTGTTTGCACAGTCATAAAAGAGAAATAAAATCAAGTTCTGACAGGTTGATATACAGAAAACATTGTTTATAACTTGTCGACGAAACCAATTTGTTGTCTAGCTGAATGAAGCGAGGGGTCGCATTGGTAGTCTCACTTTTGTAGTTGAAAGTGATTCAGGCTTTCAAACTGCCTCGTATTCAGTTAATACTCACCATTAAACTACAGTCATCGCTATGGCTTTCATACGAGCAGCTGAGTCGTTAAATCTGTCCTAGGTCTGTATATTGACGAAAGGTTTGGCTGTGAACAGAATGCAGAATGGACGATTGATTTTGGCTACTTATTATTTTTACAACCGTATCTCCTTCAAATGGGACGGCGAGATAAACAGGCTTCTTGTTAACTTTACCACACGATGTCACTGGTGAATTTGTCACCATACGTTTACGATTAAGGGCTCGGGGTATCCCTTCTATAGAGAAGAAACATTGTGCATCCTATTGAATTCAACTTCAACGGAGTCGACATAGTAACTAAAACATATATGTTACCCAATTGCCTCTCCGATTCATCTGAGCACTCCACTTTGGGTTTGAAACTCGCAACGAGAACCCCACTGTCTGATGACTGTACGGGTTTGAAGAAGAGGGGGAAACCACCCATTACACGTATCTCAGAAAACTAGGATCTACTGGCGTGACATTCCACTACATTCTGCTACTGAGATGCAGTAAACCATTCAGCCGCATAGCACAAGTCAATCAAATAACACGCGTTTTATCTCAATACAGCACGACCTCCAAGAACGCCAAAACCCTGCAGGCGAAGAGTCACGTGTGTGCGCGAATTACATTTAAAAATCGTGTTCATTTTGATAGTGCCAATAACTCTGCATATTTCAAGTAACTTTTTGTTCAGCATACTGCGGCGTGAATGCAGTCAACCATAAACAATAATATGACCTCGTTTTTCACTCGCCCCAGAGTGAAATTGCTGTTGTCCCGAAATGGAGCGCATAAATTGATTAAAGGACCCTAGCGAAACTGCTAGGCAACAATTTGCAAATGTGGAATCATGAAATTTTGTGTTTATTTCCGGCCACATTCTCAGGAATTACGGACGTTTCAAGATGAACTTCGTAAGGTAGATTTCCCCTGAACACAGCTTGTCTTAGAATAATTGAATGCATCTAGCGCACCACATGAAAGATAACTGCACGTAGTAACCTGTGTGCTTAACAAATCCAGATAAAACAATATTTCTCGCAAAAAAATCCGCGCACCATTTGATTGTCAGTGAATTTTCAATTCTACCCTCGGGTGCGTGAGCTGTTTCACATAAACTCGGAGTTAGCCACAATGACCACACAATTGAATGGATCATTTGAATTTCAGTGAAAAAATTCCTGACTTTCCGACGGAAAACCCCCAAAAGTTTCGAACCTACATCTATGAGACCGTCGGGCTGGTCAGCCGATTGCATTATCCTCTGAGACTCCGATAGATCTGGTGCCGGAAAAAGCGTTGAATAGCGTCATAATCCATTGCGGAATTTTGGGATCATAGTGATCTGGCAATGAAGACACACATGGAAAATTAAATGGATTTATTTCAACTGCTGAGCGTGATTTGGAACGAATCCTTTGGCCACCAAATAGATCTCGGCTGAATCGGAACGACTAGCCATCGGCTTCAAAAAGCGCACACACTTAGTTGGAGTGGTCAAAATCTTCTGCGCATTCTTTTTCGACGATAAATGATCCCATGGCCCACGATAGAATTGGGAAACCAGTTTTCGGAATGGTTCCGCTTCGGGACATTGCCACAACTTGATCACAAGCGATGCTCCCGGAGAAGAAACACGAATGGCCAACTGAGAAATGAAAATAGGGGAGGCGGAAACAAACTGCGATAAGGAGAACAATTTGTGCTTGGCAGAAGAATTGATAGATATTGAATCCCCCCCCTCTATAACAAATGCATCTATAAAAGGAGAGTGAAAGCATCCAGTTCAATCCAAACGAACCATGTGAGCTAAAAGCGAATGAAAATAACTAATGTCTAAAAGTTACATCATCATGTGTGTATTTGTGCTGGCGGTGCGTGAAACGAGTAACAACTGAACGTGTAATGTTCAGTGCTAGTCATGGAAAACCGAATGAAGCAGTCAGAAATCTGCCCAGAAAAAAGAATAGGAAATGAGGACAGTCTACTAAGTTGCAAAAGGGACGAGGCTCGACGAAGGAGGGTCGGTCTAGTTGGGCGTATTCAACGATCCGCGGAGGGCCAACCAGACGACGACCTCGCTGGGAAAAGCATTGGTATTGGATGATATAATTTTAGCTGCTTATTACAGCACACGAAATACAAGGATTTCAAGAAGTGGTGTTAAACGCAAACAGCAAACGCAATAAATGGATGGAGCCCTTGAAGGTGGCCGGTGACTGTGGAGCAGCGGTAGTTGCGAACACCGAGACATGATTATTTTGCAACTGCACTATGTGATTTATAGACAGGACAGAGAGAGAATGACTGTCTCGGAGGAGGAGCAGCCATATTTGTTGGAGATGGCCTCGGTCATCTCAAATCTCAGGTGAGGGTATTCACTAAGAATCTCCAAGTAAGTATTGTCACTTTGACCCTTGAAACGAGCACATCAGGAGTATGCATTCATCGAGTGGTTTCGCGGGAATGCAATGCAGCAGTACGTGAAAGAGGACACTAGATGCAGAACAGGCTACCTTCTCATGCTACTAGATCTTATGATTACTAAGCACGCGAAGGATGTCATAGATTTGAAGATACTCCCACCGTTATGTAAGAGTGAGTGTGTATGCATAACACTGACACTCTGTATACGACATCCGAAAGCTATTGCTAGAATGGCTAGAAACTTTGGAACCATGTTCATAAATGGTCTTCGTGGCAGAGTAGCTCAACTAGCCTGGGACTTCTAAGAAACCAGTGTTGACGAGCTCTGGTGAGTAATTGAGAAATTGCTTCAGGTACTCCAAGATTAATTCGCGCCGTTGAAACCCAGACAACACCTAACCAAACGGATGTGGTGGCGACGGGCGATAGACAAGGCCATCAAACACAGAAATCGAAGTTGGCACTTGCACAAAATTTCTGGGAGCCGTCTAGTTGGGAGTCACCTCAGGAACGAAACACTTAATGTGATGCGAATAGCCAAACGCAAATATGAGCTTAGGCTGGCGGAATGCGCCCAGATTCACGCTAAAATATACTACGGATACGTGCAATCCAAAGGAGCAATTAAGGACGGCGTGGGGCCGCTAAAAACCAATGGGTATTCCGTTGCTATAGACAACAACAGCAAAGCAGATACACGAAGTGTGTACTTTAGCAGCGTTCATCATATTAACAGTTGATCTTAGATGGTCGGATCAATGTGCCAGTGACATAAAACGCAAGGGGTGAACCAATCAAACTAGGGTTAGCTTTGTCATACCGTAAACCTGAGGTATTTACACCTCTGTACAAGACTATAGTCAGGCCCACTTAGAGTATCGTGTCCAGGAATGGTCACCCTTCTTCAAAAGGATGCCGCCTGTTTAGAGCGCGTTCAAGGGCTGGCAACGAGAATCTTTGAGTGACGGCATGGGAAAGATTATAGGCAGAGGGTTTCGGAACTTGGACTTTTTTTCTTTGGAAAAGCGAAGGCTCAGAGGGGATATGATAGAAACCTTTAAGATAAAGAAACGTTTTTTTTGGTGTTAGACCAGAAACCGTGTTCCACTAGGCTCTAGATTTGCGAACAAAGAGGGATGAAATTAAGCTAGCCAAGACTCGGCTGAGATGGATCGCCCGACCACACTTCTTCATTAACGGAGTAGTCGAGATACGGAACAGACTATCCGTGGTGCTAATAGAATTACAGACTGTGTTAGCAATCAAGACGGCCCTAGACGAAGGGTGGTTTGAACTGGTTCCTGAGGTGGGGGTCTGACCATCAATCGATCGACTTAAAAAACTAGAAAACTTAAAACAGGCACTCAGGTTACATGGTTTTGTTTTGCTCCGTCATTTATCGGAATGTAACCTGGTAGATGAACACTCACATATAAACATCTCTCGCTTTGTAGGTTATTAAGCGAGCGGGGCCTTCGAAATTGGCCGCGCGGTCCGTTACATCGTCGGACTCGGAACTATACAATCACTCTTCACTGGATTTATCTGGGATACACGTCCTTCGTTGCCATAGAAACGTTCTATGATTATGGTCATCGTAAATTCTGTGAAATACTTTGCCGTTTTCATGAAGCAACTTCGAAATTCTGGCCACCGGATTTTGCCTTCTTTTGGCAAATCGGTTCGTAACAGGGAGAGAAGAATTTACGGAAATGTCAAAACATTTCCCAGAAAACACAGAGCTGGATGGCAGGTCGCACTACGCAAACGATCAGTTTCAGACATCTGCATTCCAGCAGTCATCAGTGGAAATGTGCGCTCCCTGCTCGGCAACAT